TTGTATATCAATTTTCAGCTCCTTCTTCGCATTTGGGAAGTTCTCTTCAATTATCTCCTGGAATATTTTCTCTGTTCCTACATCTCTCTCCTCTCCTTCTGGAATTCCTATAACTCTTATATTTCCTTTCCTCATGGAGTCAGATAGTACCCAAAGTCTTTCTTCATTCTTTTTCCTTCGTACTTCTCTTTCCTTTTCTGTTTTGGTTCTTTTTATTTCTGTGTCTTCAAGAGTACTTATTCGTTCTTCCATTTCATCTATTCTGGTTTCATTGCTTTTCCCAGAGTTCTTTAGTTCCTCCATTAATTCTTTGATCTCCTGCATTTCTTTTACTTCCCTCTTTAGGGACTCAATTTCATTCTTCTGACCATTGTTTTCCCTCTTTACGGACTCAATTTCCTTCTTCTGATCTATCACTTTTTTAATCATGGCAATTTTAAATTCTCTTTCTGAAAGGCTCAGAAGTTCTTCCAATTTGCTGTCGTTGCAATCTGGGGAGTGGTTTTCTTTTTGTGGTGTGCTTCTTTCCTGAGGAGTTGTTAGGTTGCGTGTGGTTCTTCTACTCCCTACTGTCTGTTTTCTAATTTGTCGTATGCATTGGGAAACTGTGTTGCTCGGACTGGCTGGCATCTTGGGTGAACTTCTCTGCTCCCCTCTGGCTCCTCCAGGAGCCATCTCTGGCTTCTGGGGGAGCTTTCTGCTGGTTTTAGGCAGTTTTTACTGAAGAAATGTCCCTGTTCTAAAATGGCGAAGTGGGATGCAGTCCCTGCTCCTCCGGTTTCAGGCACACTCTTCTGCGCACCCAGTCTGCCCCGGACGTGGGTGCCTGCTCCCTCTGTGGGCTCAGACTGCTGGTCGGAAGGGGCCTGGCGTGGGCTAACTTCCCGGCTGGCCACTGGGTCCTCCAGAAGCCTTCTGCCCTTTTCAAGCAGTCTTAAGAAATTTCCTGTTCTATGGGGTGTTAGTGACTTTTTTTTCTGGTTGCTAGGTGGCGCCAGAGATCTCTCCTATTGTCCTTGGGGGGCTGTTTTTCGCCTCCCCCACCCCGTGGGACAGGGAATAGAGCGGGAATGGTAGGGTAAACCTCAACAGCTTTGGGGTGCTGTGTCTGCCTTGTGCCCCACCGTCGTGGAGAACCCACACCCCGAATTTTCGTGCCCTGGGTCTCAGTTCAAAGCCCTCAGTTCCAGGACACGGGCTGTAGCCCAGTTCAGTGGCGCGGGAATGGCGCCTTTTGCACCCCGCTCCCATGCCTGGGCGCCTGGTTCCTGCTCACTCAGGGAGGGACTTTCACCCCCGTGAGGGCCTCCGCGCGTCTCCCTGCAAGCCTAGGTTGCAGGCGCGGGGACCTGAGTATCCCACATTTCTTTAGTGACAGCCCCTTTAAGCTAAATCCTGAATGTTTGTTTTACATCTTTCCATCAATTTTGGAGAACTACTTACTTTTTAAAGTTTTGTTTTTTAATATGGACTAATTATTTGATGATAAACATTTCATATCACCAGTTTTGCTCTTTCATCTAACCTGAATATATTAAATTATTGAGACACATAATAATGATTATGCTCAAGCAAATCTGAGTTAAATAAATGCTGAATCTATAACCTCAAACTGGGTACACTCATGGGTAAGTAACATCCTCTTTAAATCTCAGTGTTCTCATTTATAAAATTGAGGTAAATATCACTGGATTGTTTGGAAGATTAAGTAAGATGATACATAAGCAGCATTAGCACATCAATTGATATTTTAACTAATAAATGCTAGTTATTCTAAGATTACATAACATTGTTAGTTGCCATGGTCAGCAGAAAATTGCAACTCACACATATTCCTTTTTATTTTCTTAAATAATTGGTGTCATCTAACTTTTATACTAGATTTATCACAGTAATTCTGTACCGAATAATTGTATCATTAATTTAAAGAAAACTAAACTAAACTAAAATAACAAAACACCAACTCAAATCACAGGTGATCTTTAAATATTGACTGCAAAATATTCCATTTTATACTCCATATTATTTCACTAAACTTCATATTCAATAGAAAAGCAGCACCAACTATTTTCACCACTTGATGAATGTCTCCACAGGAAAACTGGGTCAGTTAAAGCAATAATAAATTGACTCATTGTCACAGTGGTTTACTTTCCTAAGAGCTAAACCTTGTGGGAATTTAGGAATGTCTCCAACAAATCCCCAAATATTTTGTTCAAAATCAATTTATATTTTATTCCCCTTGCTACAAATAGAATGAAACTGTTTTTGATTGAGGTAACATTGGTTTACAGAGTTGTTTGTGTTCTAGAGATAGAGAAAACAATGTTCAGAAGCTTTTTAGTTTGATACAGTCCCGACTGCTTATATTTTCCTTTGTTTTCCTTGTTGTTGGAGATGAACCCACAAAGACATCTCTGAACTTTATGTTGTGGGGTGTTTGCCTATGTTTTCTTCTATACGTTTTATGGTTTCTGGTCTTACATACAAGTCTTTTATTAGTTAATTTGTGTGTATGGTGTGAGATTGTGTTCTAGTGTCATAGAAACAAACAAGTGCCTATCCTTCATAAACTCTTTCAAAAAATTAAGAAGGAAGGGATAATATCAAACACATTCTAGGAAGCCAACATTACACTAATACCAAAACTAAACAAGGCCAACACACAAAAAAGAAAACTACAGGCCAATCTCTCTAATGAACACTGATGCAAACATTCTCAATAAAATTTTAGCTATCAGAATCCAACAATGTATCCATAAGATAATTCACCAGGACCAAGTAGGATTTATTGCAGGCACACAAGGATGGTTCAACATATGAAAATCAATCAATGTAATCCAACACATCAACAACAAGAAATATATTAAAGAACTAGGCATAAGACCTGAAACCATATAATAGATAGAAGGAAATATAGGTGAAACACTACGTGACATACATCTCAGTAACATCTTTAAAGACACATCACCCAAAGCAGTGATAGTGAAGGCAAAGATAAACAGCTGGGACTACATCAAATTAAAAAGCTTCTGTACAGCAAATGAGACAGTAACCAAAACAAAGAGACACGCCACCGATTGGGAGAAAATTTTTGCACACAACACTAATGATAAAGGACCGATCACAAAAACCTACAAAGAGCTGACAGACTCAATAAAAACAAAGTAAATAACCCAGTCAAAAAATGGGCAGAAGAGCTAATAAGAAACTTCTCCAAAGAGGAAATGCAAATGTCCAACAGGTATATGAAAAAATGTTCAACATCACTTGTAATCAGGGAAATGCAAATCAAAACTACAATGAGATACCATCTACACCAGTGAGAATGGCACATATTAAAAACACTAGCAACAACAAATGTTGGTGAGGTTGTGGAGAAAAAGAAACTCTCCTGCACTGCTGGTGGGAGTGCAAACTAGTCCAACCACTATGGAGAGCTGTGTGGAGATTCTTCAACCTGCTAAAGATGGAGCTTCCATATGATCTAGCAATTCCACTCCTGGGTATTTACCCAAAGGACACAGAATCACTAATTCAAAAGGGCACCTGCACCCCTATGTTTATAGCAGCACTATTTATAATAGCTAAGCTATGGAAATAACACAAATGCCCAAAAATAGATGACTGGATCAAGAAGATGCGGTATATATACACAATGGAATATTACTCAGCAATCAAAAAAGATAAACACATGCAGTTTGTAGCAACAGGGATGGAGCTGGAAGGGATCATGCTCAGCGAAATAAGTCAGAAAGAAAAAGAAAAATACCGGATGGTCTCACTCATAGCAGGAATTTAGAAAACCTAAATAAGGGACCAGGAAAAAGACTAATTAATACAAAGTAAAAATCAAAATCAACAGGCAACTATAAACCAGAGACACACTACAGGGGGCGGGGGTAGGGAATAGGATCAAAACAAGGGGGGTGGGAATTGTATGGGGACTATAACTAGGATGAAAATGCATACATTGTGCAAAAATGAAAAATGATGCAAAAAATGTATAAAATAAAAAAAAATGTGTATTAGCTTTAATTGAAAATTCCATTTCAAGGTACACTAGAGAAACTTTCATGCATTTCTACAGTGACAGGTACAAAAAAGCTAATTTAACAGCATATAATAGTAAAAACTTAGAAGCATCCTAACCATTTTCAATATGATAATGAATATATATATTTTAGCATAATAATTAAATACTCTATAGCAATTAAAAGAGTTATCCATATAAGCAGATGTATATCCCACCAACATAATTATGGTAGGGGATAAAACAAGCTAATACAACTCAAGTGATAACATCACACTATAAAATCTGAACTCATATAAAGCAATATTAATAATATATGTGGAGAAAGCCATTTGTCCTTATGCATATAAATTCATGGGAATTCCACAAATACAGGATAGTAAATAACCAAGGTTGTGGTTAGAGAGAAGTAGGATCAGTAGAAAAATACAAGGATTTTCTATTGCATCTGTAACTTTTTAATTTTTTAACAATAACGGTAAAATTTTCAGAATTTGACAGAATTTACTGTAGCTATTAGGCATTTTTTACTGTAGCTATTAGGCATATAAAACCTAATAACAATTAGGTTTATATAACCTAATAACAATTAGGTTTATATAACCTAATATTAGGTTATATAAACCTAATAAATAATATAACCTAATAAATAATATAAACCTAATATTAGGTTTATATAACCTAATAACAATTAGGTATAATTGTTTTATGCTAACTTTTAAGATCAAAGCAAGTATAAAAGTATATCTTTATGTTTGTCCTTTTAGATGTAATTGGAATATTATGGTAATTTTTAAGATTAAGGCAAGTACAAAAGTAAAGCTTCATGTCTAACCCAAATCTATGATTCTTAATAAAATTATCTTGTTTTTTATAGGAAGTATAAAAATTTAAACAAAAAGTAATTATTTACTATATCACTATAAGTTTTCTTGACATATAATCCTTAGTTCCAACAACAACTTACTTATTATACAGAATCCATATGCCAAGCACTGTTCTGGGTGTGGAGATACAGCAATGAACAGAAAACAAATCACATTTCCCGGTGGAGCTTTCATGACAGTGGAAAGAAACATATTATAAACAAATTAGAAGTCTGGTAGAAATAAATGTAGAGAAAATTCAGGTAGGATAAGGAATCCCAGAGTTGCAAAGTTATATAATGAGCTCAAAGGAGAGCTTATTGAAGCAGTTAACAGGGTAAACAGCTAAAGAAACTGAGGGATAAAGTCATTTCTACACCTGGGGAAAGGATGTTCCTGGCTAGAGCAGTAAATGCAAATATTCTTAAGTGGGAGGGTGTGTCTGAAATGCTCAAAAATTATCAAGAATGCCAGTGTCCCTAGAGTAAAACAAGCTAGAGGAAAAGTTAAGAGATAATGACAGGTCCTCTGACCACCCACAAGTCATGTAACGATTTAGACATTTTCTCTGATTTAGACGAAAATTCTTTTGAGAATTTTGAGACATAATCTGACTTTTAAAACCTTATTCTGGCTATTTCAAGCAACAGCAGAGAAAGAATGAGAGCTAGGAGACAAATGTTAATGCTGTTAGCATAATCCAGTGAGACATGATGGTGGTCTACAGTTCTTTAACTATTTCAAAATGAGGATTTTAAAATACTTCTGTAAATCTCCCATATGATCCAACAATTCCACTCCGAGGTATCTATCTGAAAAATATAAAAACACTAATTCAAAGGGAGAGATGCACTCTTACATTCATTGCAGCACTGTTGACAATAGTCAAGGTGCGGAAACAACCTAAGTGCCCAACAACAGGTGAGTGGATTAAGCATATGTGGTATACACACAATGGAGTACTGCTCATCTTTCTAAAAATATGAACTCCTAGCACTGGCTACAACATGGATACAACTGGAGGGAATTATGTTAAGTGAAATAAATCAAAGAGAGAAAGGCAAATACTGGATGATTTCACTCATATATGGAATATAAAGAAACAAAATAAAGGTACAGCTGAAACTAAACCAAAACAAACCCTAGCAGTAGGACTGTAGAATGAAGACTACCTGAGGGAGAGAGTAGGGATTAGCAGGGTAGGGGCCAGATGGACTATTGGTGCTTTGGTGGTGGTTGTGATACAGTTAACATACATCTGAGAGGTGTGAACCTGTACCCCTAAATCATATATAACATTGTAAGCCAACATTACGTCAATAAAAAATACAACTCAATAAAAATACAATAAAGAAAACCTACTCCTGTAAATCTTCCTTAAAGTCTTTGGAATCATGAAGTCTATTACATTTTTGGACCAACCTATGGAATATGATATTCCAGTGGGTCACAGTAAGATACACGATGGCTGGTGCCTGCACAGTGTAAGGCAGCGTGTTATTAATATTTGATCAGAAAGGCGAAATGAAAAATGGGGAAGAGAGGCCTCCCTGGTGGCACAAGGGGTTAAGTCTCATCAAAATAATGCTATCGGCAGCCACCGCAGCATGAGTTCGATCCCCTATCAGGGAGATAACCCACATGGTCCACATGGCATGGCAGACCTTTCCTGTCTTGCCTGTTGCTCCCTTCAGCAGTGCATTTCAGTCAATCTGCCTGTTCTGCTCCCAACTCTGTCTCTGGTGAATTCTCTCACACACTGCCCCCTGCACCTCTAGTCTGGCCTGCACCCCAGCACTTGTATGCATACATAAATAAATCTTTTTAAAAAAGGAAAAATGAGAAAGAATCTACATAAATAAATCTTTTTAAAAAAGGAAAAATGAGAAAGAATCTTTTCTTTTATTCTTAATCTAAAATAGTTTCAGAGAGTTTGGAAAGTTGCAAGAATGTGCCATGAAATGATGCACTAAATGGTTCTTTCTTCCCATTTTTTTTTTCCTTTTGGATATGTTCATTTGTTTCTGACAAGATAATTAGCATTTGTTTGTGGACTTTTATGAGATGGATTATACTGCTGGGAAAAATTCCTTGTGTCTCTATAAAATGTAGAAAATGATCCTTGTTGGCTAAATGCTCACTGTACTGACCAAGTATTCTCACCCTCTCTGAAAAGGCTTAAGGAAAATTTTGTGTTTGGGGGTTGGTGATTTTGAGGTAAATATCAAATCACTTTGTCCTTGCTCCATGTTTTTTTTGTTTTCCATTGTGGCAGTAAAGAACATAATGTCCACAAGATGAGGTGGCTCCTAAGAGCTCAGAAAATGCCTGTTTACATGAAAACTAAACCAACTGATCCCTAGACCCAAAAAAAGTGTATCCATTTTGAAGTCTGTAAACATGAATCTGTCAATTTGAGGGCATATATCTCTCAGTAGTATTAAATAATTATTGCCTTTTACTTTTTAGTTTATGTAGTAAATCTATAACATATAAATTATTACAAATGCCAATATTAATCTACTTTATGCCACTGACTGCTTAGTCAAAAAATAATTTCCAAATGAATAATTTGATCATTACTATGGCTTATTTATTTCATTCTAGAAGTCTTAAAAATTAATGTTCCAATTATTAATTTAATGTTGTAATTATGGTGTTTCAAGAAGAATGCAAATGACTAAGATTATAGTAATTGACGATCATATTCAGATGATGGTCTCTATTTTGATGCCTGTGGAGCCACAATTCATTGAGACTCCCTGCAGCAGACAAGAAGAGGTCAAACCTTCAGATGTGCTAATGAAGCACATGCTGTCAGCTGGCTATGTGTCGTTTAAGGCTGACAAAGAAAATCTCTCAGCTCTGGGTTACATTTGTAATTAAAATTTTAAGTACTACCTAAAAATCACATATTAAATGCTCACAATATTTTTATTCTCTTTCAAATATTATTCTAGCATTTAAATGCAACTTTCATGTACCCAAGATTTTGAAATAACCAATATGTTTAAATTGCAAATGAAGGTTTTTGAGAAAATTTAGCGAGCCAATCTAAAGTCCCACAAAATAGTTTATAGTCTATCTAAAATGCAATTTTCTACACTGTATTTAATTATCTTCTCATTTGAAATCATTGAAATTAAGCAAAACAGTTTTGTGAAGCTGTATTTACACATGAAAGGTAATTTCAATTACTTTTATTAAAAAATGTGACTATTCTAAAACAATTTGAAAACAATCTATTATGTCCTCAGTCTCAATCATTCATGTGTGGAATGGTCATGTCTCTAGCACCTCTACGTTTGTAACATCAAAAGAAGAATCAGCAGGCACTAACATGAAGATAATTATAATTTTACTTTGGTGAAAGAGAGCTGAGTACTCTGCCCATGCTTTCAACTCATGCCCATCATTCTTGCTATTATCCGGTTGGGGTAAGTCCTCTGATTTCACACTTCTTCCTCTATTTTCATCTTTACACTGCTCTATGATTCATTTCTCCATACCTATCGTCCACTGATCCTTTAGTCCTTTATATTTTTTCCTTCTGGAATTCATTCTACTCTACACTTGATGTTAGCTGAAAGGCCAAGAAGAGATTCCATTCTACTCTAACTATTCACCCTAGATTTCCAATTCCTGCAAAGAATGCTATTTCATTTTATTCTTTTCTAGATACAAATGCAGAATGAGGACAAAATTCTTTTAAGTATTTAAAATTGTATTTTCAATTTCCCCTCAGAATAAAAATAAGGGTTCTTTTGTTCTAAGCTATCTGATGACATCATCTCTAGCAATCCTCACTACCATTTTCCATCATTCTTCTTGTTATAAATTCCTGATATTCACCGACAATTTTTGCATGTGACTCCTCTACATTCAAAATCTGATAACCCCAATGTCCAGGACCTATTTAACAATAATAGTAAGCATCACAACAAGAGCAACAACAGAATAACATAACCCAGCTCTTTCTTACTATTCTTTTCACTAAGCTTGTTATATGAGTCTTTTTTTAAGGTTTATAGTAGCTCTTTAATTATACTTATTAGGATATTATAAGTTATAGGAGTTAAATAATTTTCCTATGATAATGCAGTTTAAAAGATATGTCAGTATCTGTGATCTTTACTTCTATACCATGTGCTCTTACCTTCAACGACCATTATTTTCACTGTATTTCTATCACCTATTTGAAAAACGTTGTTATTAAACAAAGAGTCAGATAAAGCCAAAGTTTGTTCTAGTAACAAACCCTAGAGCTCTGTCTGTAGAACTGAGGCTGCCAGTGGGGGTCCGGGGAGGACAGCAAAGTGGGGAGGAAATACTATGGACTATGGGTGAGGACTCTGGATGTCTTAGTGATAACAATACACAGGGGGTAATTCCATACCTCTAAATCATATACAATGTTACCTCAGTAAATAAAGAGATAGATAGATAGGTAACTAAATAAATGAATAAAAAAACCTGTTATAAAAAAGACACTTTGTAAGAAAAAAAGCACCCTAAAATGTAAAATGTTCGACAATAGTTTTAATAGCTTTGTATTTGTTTACTTTAAATAAACACATGACACACATAAAATCCTGTTATTGTCTAGAACACTTAAGTACTGAAATCTGGAGATTAATAGGCCAATAACTCTCTCACCCACACAATACATTATCTCTCTCTCTTTCTCCCTATCTCTATTTTGTGCTTCTCTCTTACTTTCTCTAAGCCTTTTCCTCCAAATTCATGGAAATGTCTTATTCCTCAACAACAACTTATTTTTTTCCTCAACCTATGAGTCCTTTGATTTATTTTTGTTTCTATTTGGCATGGATGCATTGACAGCTTCCAAAAGTTTTCAAAAAACCTTTGTACACTTGTTTAAAAACTGCAAAGTCCCCACCAATGTACACTGCACCCAGTATATAAACATCACCACAGAAAAACTGCACATTTATATCTGTGCCACCAAAAAATATAGTCAGATTTTTCAAGTGAGCTAAAGCTCACTTTGCTCACTACCATTTTCATTATCATCCAGTTCACACTTCATTATACTCAAATACTAACACTTTCTTTCCCTCTTCAACACTCATCTACATTTCTCATTTTGTGAAATAAAATAAGACCATTTAGGCAGAATTTCATTAATTTTCATATACCAACAACAGATATAACGGTCTCCATTCCTACCACTAATTCTACTCTCA